GCATACATAGCTCCAAAAGCAAGAACAGGTAGTACTCAACACTTGATTCCAGCATGATGATGTGGTGAGCGCCAAGCACTAGAAGCTCCGTGCCAATAGCCAGAGTGGAACAGGTACAGAACCTTAAACAGGCAGTCTGTAAATACCTTGGAAAAACTGAAACTTGGCCAAAAAGCCTGGGTATACATCTCCGTAGATATATAATATTCCTGAAGAATAAGAATAAATAGAAATAATTGAAACTATTTGTAACAGGCGCCGCTTAAAAACGCGTGCAAAACAATAAAGAGGAAATTTTAAAGAGAAATGAACTGAATGAAACTCCTATGACTGAGTGATAGATAACTACACTCTTTGCTCCCTACCTGGTATTCTGTTTCAACTAGCAGTATGTATACAAAGTAAGGCACACACATAAGTACTCTGTTAGACTTAAGTGAGAGTAAGAGAGCAAGACTTTGCAAAATTGGATGATGAATATCAGGATCAACTTCTGATGAGGTCTGAATCTTGCCCTTATCTCTCTGTTGCTCCCTTCTGATTTTCCAAAGGTAGATGGAATATTTGGCCTCGTCTTCCACCACCCAATTACAAAGTTCACTCAAACTCCTGAGGAATCCAGGATGTTCAACATATACAGTTTAGAACAACTTAATTCCAGTGATCCTCACGTTCCCAAACACTCTCATGCTCTCATCACAAAGCCAGAAAATTAAATAGGTGCACCTTCATATTTAATATGGCAGTATTGTTATTGCAGTTTTAATTTTCACTACCTTTTCATATTGACACATCCACTCTGCAGCTCTGATACTGATATGATCTAGTTTCTGCCACAGCAGAACGAGTATTCAGCCCTGCTTGCTCAGGGCTGGTTTTCATCACCATACTCACATTTGGAAGGACAAAGCCAGATGCTTGACGCTGCTGTGCTGAAACCACCACCATGACACAGAAGAGTGAAGGGTGACCCCTGCAAAGCTCTCCACCTGCAGCTGCCTCAGCTGCAGCGCTCATCATACAGGACAGCCTGCACAGCTCCATATACATCAGCTCCGTCATGAAGTCAAGACAGCGGTCTGGGTTGTTGGTATTTTAGAAGCTGCTCAAGATTACTTTTCAGACTAATTTCTATTATTTCCACAAGTTCCTTTCCCATTACTCAAGCAACGCACACGTGGTGACAGTTCTGTCTGTCCTAGCTGTCAGTTCCCACATTCTCACCAAATGTCCTCAGACGTAATTTAGTTGGGAATGGAAAGAGTACATTTGCCAACTCAGAAATGTTGAATATATTTAGTTACTTCTCATGGCATTCCGCTTCATACAAGACCCACAATACATCCGCCCGCCAAATTTGGCAGCTGTAAAACTCCGACAACACTGAGCAGGATGGACTTAGGCTGGATTTAATCTGTTGCATCTAGTGGTTTAGGGTGTCTTACGGAAGAAAGCAAAGCAAACAGTTCAGTGGTCAATATCAGCAGATGAAGTCTTTTACTTTAAAAAAACAAAAACCCTCCAACTCACTAAATAGCCTGTCCTCAAAGGGAAAAATGCAGGTTACCAATTTTGGGGGTGGAGAATTGTCCGGTGTTTCACATGCTTGATGGAAGACCAATAAAACAAGGTGTCAAAATCCTTTCAAACGTATCAGATTCCCATTTTGCCCCCTGGATAGTTAATGAGGGCTCTATACAGGGATTAGTTCAAAACCCTCTTCCATCCCTACAGAAAAATGTCTGGATTAGGTCTGAAGGTGCTTAAGGCTAAGTACATGGAATTGACACTGAGCTCTCCTTTAACCAGCTACATATCACCTCAGAAACTATAATGGCAAACAGATCAGCTAGTGCTGATAACGATTTAATTTATTCCATGTCATTCCTCTCCAAGGACAAATATTCCAGCTGATGGGGAAGCAATTCCAGAGTGTCTCACCATAGCAAGCCACACAACACACACAGGGAAAAGCAGAAACAATGAAGTGAAAAACACAAGGCTAATGGTACGCTAAAGATATAGCCTGGCTAGACTATGGCAACTGAACACCAATAAATATGAGTTGTCACAAAAGAATAAAGGCTGAGGAGGCTTTCCATTAAAATAATTCTATAAATACTGTTAAACTAATGAACAGCAGACTGCCTTCCTTCTCTCTTGGCTGTAGGCAGCCTACACATTTCAGAACAGATACCAAACGTTGCTCATGAGTCAAAGGAAAGACCCTCTTTCCTTCAAGTGGACCATGTACAGGTTCTGCTCCTGCAAAGATGACTGTGATCAGCCCTTTCTTTCTGCAAAACAACTTGTCCCACTAATTTCAAAGAAAAATATCCATCTGAAGCACACAGAGATATGTATGTGTGAAAATGCGGCCTCTCAATTCATCAGCTTGAGTAGCAAGCTCAAGATTGTTTCAAGAATTTTGATCTGCACTTTTTCTGTGGAGTTTCTCATGTATGTCCTTCCACCAGCACAGTTTTGAAGCAAATGCTGGATGTGAAATTGGAAAGGAGCAGGGGAAAAGAGCTGAGTGAGCTACTTGCGGTGACATGGAAAACAATGATGCTCAGGGGGAAATTTTGGCAAGAGAGGAGATATGCAAAGAGGGAGCCTGAGCTGGCCTTCCCAATGGATTTAAACTTTCATTCTGAAAATAATGAGTGGATTTAAGGGAGCTGACCTCCCAAAGCGTCTATTAGCTGAAACTGGTTATAAGTGACCTATGCTCTACTACCATGCTTTAAATTACCACTCCATAAGACCCAACCAGAAGTTATGTAGTAACTCAAACTTGTGCTGTTAAGCTAACTTTGCAGGTAGGTAGCTTTGACCCATGCCATCAGCTGGGAGACACAGGGGCTCACCTGGTCAGCAAGACATTGCTGAGTTACATTCATATCATTAGCTATCATTTTCCTTTCCTGTCCTCAGGACAGAAACATAAGAAGAAGGCTGACTGAGCCTCCACACAGAGCTACTGCTGCTGAGCTCCGCTGGGCTTCTCACACAGGGAGAGCTGTGAAACACTGCATCCTTCACTTGTACAATGCTGCATGCATGGCTGAGCATCCATATGTGGTTATGTGTTTGCAGAAGCAAGGCCATAAGGTAACTGTCCATATTTTTATCACGTTTTTCCATGATATCTAGTATGCTTAAACAGTCACTTAACCTTATAAAACATTTAATGAATGAAAACATAATAACTGTAACAGATTTAATTTTGTAAGCAAAAGAAGATATTTTCCTCAAGGAAAATGTCTTAAAAGTACAGCTGAAATCTGATGGGAATTGAGGATAAATGCTCTTCTCCTGATAAAAATCCCCTGCAGCTTTACCCTACAATTTACTGAAAGCACTGGTAACTGTAATCTCCATGTTCAAGAGAACTAGGAACAGGAGGCATCGTTTTGCCATAGCAAGGGTGAAGCCCCACAAATAGAGAACTGTTTAGCTCCTAAAAGCTGCACATCTCCTTTTCAGTGAAGTCTGCAGAGGAGTAATCAGCTAAATCCTTTAAGAACAATGCTATTTTATGGCAACACCAGAATGAATGCCCAGCATCAGGATGCATGCTTACAATGAGAAGGGAGAGAGCAATCAGAAATATTTTGGTGAAATTTCTCTTTAACATACAGATTGAAGTCATTTTTACCTGTTATCACAGCTTAGTTAATATCTGAGTAACAAATCGAAACCTAAGCCCAACAGGTCCTGAGAGGACGCTACTGTGATGGTGACAGCAGTAACAATGAGTGACAATGCTGCTTCACTGAAGGCCCACAGACAGGTCACAAACATTGGCACTCACCACTCCTTGCAGCACTCAGCTCAAAGCCGCTCTCCTGCAGTGGAATTCTGTGCATTTTTCCTCTAACTTAGAGCTGATCAATTTTTTACACTGCACTTACACAGAGCTATCAATTACTGCAAACACCTTGCTTTGGTTGTATAAAGGATACTTTCAAAATATAAGATCACACTCTATTAGTGTAAACCTCCATTTGTTACGGGATGAAGGATACTCAGCTGGGTTCAAGGAAACATCTTCCCAAGCAGCTACAGATGCAGCTACAAATCATGCTGTGATTAAACACAATCACTCTGGGATCTCTAAGGTTGGAAAAGATCATTAAGGTCATCTCGTCCAGCCATCATCCCATCACACCATGCCCACAAACCACATCCCTCAGTGCCACATCCACACAGTTCCTGAACACCTCCACGGACGGTGACACCACCACCTCCCTGGGCAGCCTGTGCCACTGCCTCACTGCTCTTTCTGTGAAGAAATGTTTCCTGATATCCAACCTGAAGCTACTCTGGCACAACTTGAGTCCATTCCCTCTCATCCTATTGCTGTTACTTGGGAAAAGAGACCCGGGTACAACCTCCTTTCAGGTTGGCATGTGACATCTTTGCGTAGAAGCAGGAAGAGAGAACTGCTCGCACCCAGAGACCTGAGATTGTGTTCAAACATTTGGATTCAGGAAATTCCACACAGGAAAGTTCATGCTGTTGACACTTCTTGATGACCCTTGCCCAGCCCTATGGGGTACCTGGGCACCTCAGCCTTGCAAGCACCTCACGCCATCGCCCACTGCTCACCACGCAAAGCAAAGCTATCGAGAAGCAGTGCTGTGTTCCTTGAATGTATCTGTGCCTATGGCACCGTGTCGGCAGCCCAGTGCTGAAATCACCCAAGTGAAAGGAGTCGATATTTGCATCGCTCAGCTGGGTTTGTCTCGGAATACGATCGCTCCTCACGCGGTTCTTGACACACGCGAGGCATCAAATAAAGCAGAGCTTTCAAAGGAACTCCTCTATCTTTCCGAGAGGTGCGAAGCCACGACGGGATCGCACGAAGCTTACGGAGAGCGCTCCAAACGCACCGCTCGCCGCTGCAACCCCGACGGCGCCGCGGACTCGCGCGGGGCGGACGCGTGTGGGGCGGCCCCGCGGGGCGGGCGGGGGTCGCGGCGGGGCGGGCCTACCTCGGACTTGCGCACGAAGTAGGCGGCGGGGCGCGAGCCGGGTGGCGAGGGCTGTCCCTTGCGTTGCTGCAGCCAGCGGCGGGGCGACGAGAAGATGCTGTTGGCGGCGGCGGGGCCGCTGAGCGCCGAGGCCGAGGGAGCGCGCGGCAGGAAGGGCGGTTCGCGGCCGGGGCTGCGCTTGCCGCGGGGGCTGCCGCCGTCGAAAAGCGCGATGCCCGGCGGCGAGCGTTCCAGGGGGGAGCTGGGCGTGGAGGCGGAGGAGCCCCGGGGGGCGCGGGGCTCCCACGGGGGGCTGCCGGCGGCCCTCGCCCGGGGCACCCGGCCCGCGCCCTCGCCCTCCTCCCGGCCGCCGCCGATGATGGCGGGGTCGAGGCTGCGCGTCTGGCGGAGCCTCCGCTTCGAGAGGCTCTTGGCGGCGGCGGGGGCGGCCGCGGCCGGGGAGGAGCAGGAGAAGACGCTGCTCAGCAGGCTCTGCGCCGACATCGCGGCGGCCGCTGCCCCGGACGCGGCGGGGACGGGCGGGGGTCCCGGGAGCCCCGGGTCCGCGCTCAGCCCCCGGCGGCGCGGTCCGACGGCGGCGGCGGCGGGCTCATGGCGGCGGCGTCCGCGCCGGGGCTGCTCCGGGGCTGCCGCCGCAGCCGCGGTCCCTTTGCTGGGAGAGGAGGGAGCAAAAAAAAAAAAAAAAAAAAAAAAGTTACGAGAGAAAAGGGGTGGGAAGGAGGCAGCCTCGGAGCCTTTATCTCAGCCCGCCGCTGCCCGCCAGAGTCACTCCCCCCGCGGCCGCGACGCGCTCTGGACCGCTCGCCGCCTCTCGGGTCCCGCCCGGCGCGGGGTCCCGTCCCGGGGAGTCCACATCGGGGCGGCGGCTCCCGGGTTGCCCCCCGCCTTAGCGCTCCCGAGAGAGAGCCCCGCAGAGAGCGGTGGAGAGCCGGAGACCCCGGGAGCGGTGTGCGCCTGGAGGGCTGCTGATCCGCCGTCGTTCCCGACCCGCGCAGACATTCAGGCCCTCGCCTCCCATCCTGTGCCACATTGCTCTCATTTATTTGACCCCTACTAGCACCTGCTTGAGTGCACACTGTGCCACGTCCGTCTGACAGCCTGCACAGAGCAACACAGAGCTGTGTGGACGTCAGTGCCCTGGAAGCACCGGTAACACCAACCCCGTAACCCTTCTGCCAGAGAGATCACAGCAGCAGTGAAAAGCAGTGAATGAAGCTAAGCCTCTTCAGAATAAATAAACCTGCCTTGTCCTCTGTAGAGACTTTCTCTGCTCTCTCTCCAAGCACAGACAAGGAAACTTTTAATGGGAGAAAGGAAGAAACTTAAGAAAGCCAAAAATGTGAAGATGTGTGCAAAAATGTGTTCAATCAAAGGTCATCAGCACCCCCCTCCTTTCCCCCCCTTTTCTCTCCTCCCTTCCCCCCCCCCCCTCCCCCCTCCCCAGCAGTGCAGGAAGCAGTCCCTGGGCCGCTGGGCTTAAGCATCCTTCCTTCCATTTACCTGAGAAACCACCATCTCCACAACCCCCCTCCCCCCAAAAAAAACTAGCTTGAAAAAATCCCTTGAGCACATATCCAAGTTATTTCCCCCTTCAGTCCCCTTCAACCCCAGGTCAAGGCTGCGGTGTCCTCCCGGGCGTCCCGGAGCTGCGCGAGAAGAGCTCAGTGGCAGCAATTCCTGCTTTCATCGATAGAGGGAGCAGACCGCTTCGTGGTTTTATTTCAAGCTCAGCAGCATCAGCGGTGTGCTGGCCCATCCACCTTCAAAGGGAAGCATTCTGGTTTTATTGATATTTCCAAATGTGTGGTTGGTTGGTTTCTTTTTTCTTCTTTTTTTTTCTTTCTGAAAATGAACTTTTCCCCTTTGTTTTATATACTTACAGTATTGAAAGCTTTGCTGAAGTCCAAAAAGATTACATTAACTGGCTTCCCTTGGTTAACTAGATGGGTGACCTTGCTGTAAAAGGAGATTAAGTCGGTTAAATAGGACCTTCCCCTCATGAATCCATGTTGAGTGTGACCAATGACTGCACTGTCCTTCAGATGTTTTTCAATTTTCTCAGTAATTTTGCCAGGCACTGAAGAGAGAATTGCAGGCCTTTGATTACCAGGGGCTTCTTTCTTACTGTTCTTGGAAGAGGAGACATTTGCCAGAGCCCAGATAACTCAGACCTCTTGAGATTTCCAAGACAGTTGAAAAATAAATGAGGGCTGTGTCGTGAAGACTTCAGTCAGGAATTGCCTGGAATAATGTATCCAGTGTGAGTGCTCCTAATACAAAGAACACTGATAAAATTCAGCAGATCCCGTGGAGGGCTATCAGGACAGCGGGGAGATGGAACACTGGAAATCTGGGCTTTCTCAGCCTGGGGAAGGGAAGCCTGACAGCAGCCTTCCAGTATTTACAAGGGGGTTATAGAGAAAGTCGAGAGGCTCTGTACTGGAGAGCAGAGAGAGCGGATGACAGACAGCAGTCATAAACTGGAATAGGACTGGATCTATGGAGGAAAAAAAAAATCACTGAGGGTTATTAAGCACTGGTTGCCTTGAGAGATTGTGGGATTCCTATCACTGAAGGTTTCTGAGACCCACCTGGACGAGGCATTGAGAAATCTCTTCTTACTTTCATTGTGACCCTTTTTTAAGCAGGAGGTTGGACAAGAGACCTCACACAACCCCTTTAAAATTAAATGACACTGTGGCTTTTGACTAAACACGAAGCTATGAAAACCATACCCTTAAAATTTTTTTGCAGAGATCTGGTATAGATTTCTATTACCTGTATTAACAGCAACATTGCTGCGTGGGCAGGTTTTAGAGAAATCACTGAGTTCCTGTTACTTTTAACGGTCACTGGAATTAGAAGGAGATACTGGACAGGATTTAAAATCAAACTACATAAAACTTCATTCCAATCAAGCCTGTTTTGATGGCATTTTTTAAATAATTGCTTATCAACATGTGAATGTATTCATATCAAGAATTAACAAGCTGCATTTTATTCAGACTTCTGAACAAAATCTCTGACAATAAGGTGGGTTAGAAAATGAGAGCATTTTTCTGCTTTTATTAATTCTTCAAAAATAATTAGAAAATAAATAAATAAATAAATAAATAAATAAAGTGAAGCCAACCTTCTAACCTTACTTTTTTTCTTACAAGAGAATTCCATACATTTGAATTCCTAAAATTTGATATTTGGGCAAAAAGACAAATCTTCAGCTCTTTGAAAGCTTCTCCACTTTTGCAGTGAAGACAGAAGAGGTGTGTTATTTACAGAATCTTTGTCTATAGGACCATGGAATTGATTTACAGGCACTTGAGCATAGCGTTCAAAGCTACTTCTCCACAGGAGAGTACTACAAAAGTGTCTGCAGAAGCAGATAAAGAATAGATGTATGATTTAAGAACACAGAATAAACCAGCACTCTGTCAACAGTTTTGGCCTGCATGGTGTTTGATGTTTACAAGGACAGAGACCAAGTATTGCAGTGGCATCATCCTATTTCTACAGAGGCCACTGTTTTGCCAGTGAGCTTGGTGAGATGTATATGACTGTGCCATGCCGCCATGCCAACAACACAAATGATTTGACATGACTAGAATGTGTTTTCCCATGAACTCATCATGTTTGTCTGTTTCTTACCTGGTGTAGGACTGTGCAGGTCAGTCACTGAGACATCTTCAGTACTTCTCAGAGAAGTGAGTAAATGAGAGGAACAATACCATAGGCACCAAGGTCAGTGCAGCAGGAGAGCAGGAGGTGCTCCAGGCACAGAGCAGCAGCTCCCTGCAGCCCAGGAGAGGCCCGTGGAGGAGCAGGCTGTCCCCCTGCAGCCCACAGGCACTGCGTGGAGCAGATCTCCCCATGTGGCCATGAAGAACCCATAGGGCAGCAGTAGTTTAGGCCTGGAGGAGGCATGGCCTGTGGTTACCCCCACAGTTGCTATAGGATAACAACAAGGGCTGCTCCAAACGTAATGCCTCTGCTTTTACCACAGTGGCCCACAATATCAGAGGCGGATGTTGGTGGCATGACTGTAGAGGCTGACCCTTCCCATCGATATCCCATTACATTTTGCTGCTGTGTGACAGAGGAGCAGTCTGATATGGAAGTGCAGATAAATCATAGAATGATAGAATGGGTTAGATTGCAGAGGACCTTAAAGATCATCCAGTTCCAACCTGCCTGCAATGGGCAGGTTTGCCAACCACTGGATCAGCTAAGATGTGGAATTGAATTCCTCCAAGCAGAAAAAATGGGACCCAGTTGACACTCACTGACACTTGCTGTTCATTTGTGGAGCCCAAACATTGGGTGCGAGCACAGTGAGGGGTGGCAGCAGTGGCAACAGTAAGTCAGCTCCAGTAAAGAGAGAGTGGCATGCATGCTCATGTTCTTTGCTGGGGAAAATGCATAGCTAATGGTGGTGACTGGGCTGAAAACTAGTGCTTTGTAGCATTGAGGTTGCTCTAGGAAATAGCGATATTGTGCTCTTTGTATCAGTTGTGGTTTCCATGGTAATAAATAAGAGGCATTATTTTGGAGTGTCCTACAAACTATCTACACAGTTACACACTCCACGAGTTCTCTGTGATTTTCCGCGCACCCATCACCTAAACGCCGCATAACATAAACCCGCTACAAACGCCCAGGACAAGGGCTCTGGACATACGTCCCAGACAGCCGTAACGCCTCTCGGCCGTTCGACAGGGATCTGACTGCCGATGTCGGCAGGAGAGCTACACCGGAGCTGCCGGTCCGCGTGATGCCGCGTTGCGGCCGGCAGCGCAGGCCGGGGCCTACGCCGGGATGGCGATGAGGCGCGGGCCGCACTGCGAGGAGCCCCACCGAGTTCGCTACCGGCGAAGGCGCGGACGGAAGAAGCG